GACGCTGAATTCTTGGGAGCAAAACTACTTTATATCCAAACCAAAACCAACTTCACTGTGGTCTTTCAGCTGCAGCAAAATGTGTTTTTTTTTGTAAACCACAGCAAAACAGCAGCAAAAAAAGCTCCTAAATTGAGATTTTACATGGCAAAATCCACGTGCTGGAGGGCACTTTTGAACGCTGTGGTATTTTTGAAACAATATTTGTTATGAGGTCATTAACTGCAGTATTTTGAGAGTGATTTTTTTCCTCACCTGGCACTTCACCAACATGTCGAAGAAGACGTCGTCTGCTTCAGGCTGGTCAGCACTGTCCACGAGATGATTGTAAAGGGAGGGTGTGTGACTTGTGTTTGCAGCAGGAGTTATTGCTGTGAGGAAAAACAAAAACAATCTGTTTCTTAACACGTCACCTGGGATAGGAGAGGCTTTGACCAAAAAAAACAAAAAACAAAGGCCGGGCCTCGTATTTTATTACCCGACGGTGGGGCTGGCTCTGCGTTGGAGGTGGAGGGTATAGGCGGCGGGCTGCAGGTGCTGAGACGTAAGCCAGGAAAATGGCTGAGGCTGGCTCGYTGGTCGTCCAGACGTCGGGCCTGGGAGCTGGCCAGCAGCTCCAGGAAATGTCCAGGATCCTGTGATGACGTGTCGTCTTTTGAAGTGGCTGGAGACAGAATTCTTTTAAATCACTATTAATAGTTTTTGTAAGAGTTGAACGTATTTACTGGATATGTGGGATAATCATATAATCAGTTTAAAGATTAAAATAAGCAACATTTCACCCAAAAAAAGATAAAGCTGGGTTAGAAACCTGCTCCTCTTTGATCATGTCTGCTGGATAAATTTGACTTTGTTGTTATACAAGAGCAAAAAACATTTAAATCTAGTTCATAAATGCTTATTTTCCTAATGAAGAACAGAAGCTTCAACGTTTTGGGTGAAATTTCTGCTCAAACAGAGGATGAAAGTGGAATGGTGCACATTTTGTTGCATTCACACCRTGTGAGTCTTGTTGGCAAARCCTTAACTGAATATATATGATATTYTCATGGTTAATTAGAGAAGAAAATGACATATTTAAGCCTGAGATGTATTTTAGAGAGGAAAAAAAGAAGAAGATCCATATGGTGTGAATGCTACAGAAAACACAGGGCAGACTCACATTTCTCTACAGGTAAGGCAGAGGAGGGGGAGGGGCGGGCAGAGAGGTGGCTCTGGCCAATCAGTGAACACCTTTGGTCGTCCATTCTGCTGCTCTGGAACCGAGAGAGGAGATCGAAAAAGCTGTCCTCGCCTATGGTGTCCTGTGGCCTCGGCTGTGGTGTCAAAAACAAAACAAGCAGCTYAGTTATAATAAAGTACATTTTCAAAGTTACTGAGGCTTTAGCTGTTTATTTTTTTTTTGTTTTATTTGTTGTAAAAGTAGAGCTCATTACCTTAAACAGATTTAATGTGTTTTTACGTTGAACTTCTTGTTTTAGTTATTCAGTCACTTATCTTTGTGGCACAAAGTGTTGCTCAGTCATTTCTCTTGTTTTTAGAGGAATATTGTGAATGTTTAAATGTTATGTCRATAATTAAAATTAGCGTTATGATATTTTTTGTCTCTCAACATTTAATTCATTAACAGTCACCCCTGAAATTCCTTAAAAGTTTTTCAATACTTTTTTTTTGTTTTGACGCTTTTCTTGTAAAGTGTGTCACACTAAAAGGTAAGAACAAGAGGAAGTCGTCTGACACTATAGTTTTCAAAATAAAAGCCCCCGGTAGCGTTTGGAAACCTTTTTGCCCACCAGTGGAACAAAGACGGCTTGTTTGCTATTTTAAATGAAGTTGAAATATTCTACAGAAAACCTTTTGATAAAAGAATCAGTAAACTTTGCAGAGTTTGCAAAAAGTATAGATATGAGCAACAAAGCTTTAAATGGCAGCTATTTTTATTCTACTAATTTGTCTAACTTATTACGTCTACTTGCTTACTCCTATTTTCTCAAATAAAATACTTAACTTATTGATTTTTACAACTAAAGATAAGCAGGGTTGGGTCTGGTAAGTACTTGGATGGGAGACCACCTGGGAACGTCAGGTGCCATAAAACCAATGAAGGAGTTGCGCCAACATTGGTCATTAGCATTAGAAAACCTTTGACCATAATAGCTCATAGGTCGCCTTATAAAAAGGATGCCAAATCATCATCATAATTAGACAGTACTAACAATTTTTAATTCAACGCTAATTTATCTGAAATAGAAGTCAGCCTCTACATGTAGGAAAAAAATAACTCAAGTTTGACACCGTGCATTGTAATCTAAATTTATCTGATATAACAGGAGGTACTTTCAACACGAGTTAATAATAAATAGTCATAAACCTATTTTCTAAATACTCTGAGGAAAATCATCTTTAGGGTCGGGGCTTTCCCGCAGGATAGTCTGTGTTGTAATGAGCCCCAGTAAAGCAGAAATACCTTTAGAGACACGGGTAAATCCAGCTCAGAGTCCGTGTGCTCGCTGTGGTTCTCCTCCTGATCTTTAGAAGAGGCCTTGTTGTTCTTCTGTTTCCTGCTTTTCAGCCGGTGGAAAAGGAAAAGCCTGGTGGACGCTTTGATGGTGTTTTTTGATGAGCCAGCTAACAGGTTCTCCTCCCAGTCCTACACAGACACGGTTACAAAGTGTTCAACTGCATTTACCTCTGAAAGTTTCTTGTTCAATTCATCATCATAAATG